CAATCCGTATGATCAAATTAATTATTTTAACAACCAAGTTGACGGTAAAAGTTTTTTTGTTTTATGCAACGAAAAGTCGAATAAAATACAAAAACAACAAATAACTTCTTGATCAGCATTGTACGTGTTATTAAATTTACGGAAAGTAAATAAAGACACGTCTTATAACACTTTAAACATGTATTTACGCTTATACTGTTACTCACAAGACGGTAAATATACAAAAGATGGTAAGTGGTGATCGATTTCGATTGGACACTCCAATCATCATCAGACCCAATAGGCGAATGTTCCCAACATTCGCCTATTGCCTAGTGCCCAAAATCCGACAATACATATAATAAACTGGTTTTCATATGAATAAATGTTTAAAATTTATCATTCTTATAATTTAACTACTTTTTATAGCTTTTTAGGGGGTCTTCTTCATTGACCCTGGTAGCCATAATAAATCAGATATAGTGAGAACGAATATGCTATTAGTAACAATTCCTTCACATTAAGTTTCAGTAAGCAGTTGGTTGCGTTTCGTTTTGAGAGGAGCAAAGGTTTGATGTAATCAATGCAAGTTTTCCCCTCTGTAATAAGCTCCCCAGCCCTGCTCGTAAAATATTATGGCTGTTGCATTTAAATGTCTATTTGATAAGATGCCTTGTTTTACATTCATCCAATCACAGTTTAAAAAGTTTTTGAATATCGGAAATGTTCCTTCTATTCAGTTTCCTTTAAATTGAATACAACCGACTTAATTAATTGAAATTACATTTACGTTAAATAGGATTATATTTTGTCCCGGTAGTATTCTCTTGTATTGTGTTTTGTTGAGTTGAATTAAACTGCATTGAAATGCATCCTTTGGTTTGTTTTATATTATATAGTATTGCATTACGTGGCATTACACCACTTCAAAACGCAGATTGCAGCAGTGTACCTTAGTTAAACAACCAAGGTATTATGTGTGTTTAGCACTTCATTACCCATTTGAACTTGTTTAGGTATCTTTCAATCAACATGATAAAACAGACCAATAAGATTCAGTATATTTCCTCCCATCTATATAAATAAATCCAGTGTAAGTTTGTTTGTCCTTTATGGACTCCAAAACCGCTCGACAGATTTTAATGAAAGTTTCAGGCATTATTAAGCATTATTCAAGGATGGTTTGAGTAAAGTTTGTGTGAAGGTTGGTGCAGAAAAGGGCTCCGCTCCAGTGGCTCTAGAGTTTCCCATGTTAACCTTATGAGTACTCATATTTAAATGGAATTAAAGAATCAACAGCTGGTTCAACTAAACAATTTGATTCTGTGATGTCCAATAGCATTAAAAAGTTAATAGGTTTACCAATAGGGTGTAGCACCATTATTTTTTTTTTTTATTAAGATAACAGCTAATTTGTAACCAAAAGGTGAGTACGGGTAGCGAACGAACTTCAACCTGGAGGCGAGTTAGCGTAGCGAACGAGCTAGCCTGAAGGCAAGTGAGCGCAGCGAACGAGCTCCAACCTAAAAGTAGTAAACGAACTTCAACCAGAACGTGATTGAGCCATGCGAACGAGCTAATCTTGGAAATGAACGAACATTTACATAAAACCAAATTAGGACAGGACAACGTCTCTCGGGTCAGCTAGTACAAAATAAAACTCCACACTCATAATAAGAGTGTGGGAACCCTCGATGGCAGTACCACTCACTACCAAGTCACAGTCCTACCCGTCTAACGTCAAGATATGATGTTTATTAGCGACGGAAGCATTGTACACCACACAATAAAGCGTGGCCAGCAAAATGTAACAATACGTGGCCAGACAATGCCAAGTTTCCATTAAGCCCGTGCCTTTGTCATGTAGATTAGCCGGACAAAGGGCGCGTGAACTTGGTCTTAGTTTTGCTGCAGTTTTGTTTACACATTATTACATGCATTTTAGGAACGATCACGTAATATTTACACGCCATTTAAATTTAGTCTCAAGAGGATATTTCTGTTTATTAATGAATCTTCAAACCTGATCAAGACTTTCAGTAGACATAATTAGCCAAATTAGTATACAAACCTAACCTAACCTAACCTAACCTATTACATCTTCTTAGAGGATGTGTAGTGTTTTTTTTCATTTATAATAATTGTTTGTGTTTAAATTAAATTTAATTATCTAGTTTTCTTTTTTTTGCCATTGTGTTGTTTATGTAAAACGTGATTAATTTAACATTGTACCCTACTGTACCTGCAGGATGAAAATAAAAACTACACGAGGTCATATGTCTCAAAAAGTATGTTATATTTATTTATATTATGCTGCAGTGTGATAGTTGTAAGTCTATATTTAAAAAATAAATGCATTATTATAGTACTTCGGGAAGATCCTGAACAGCCTTTTACCATTATTATAAAACACACAAAGTAATAAAACTGTTGAATTCATATGAATCATTTAAGGTTTTTTATCCTGAACAGGCCATTACCATTATTGGGCAACTCCAAAATGTATATATAAAACCATTGAATCAGAAACGAATATTATGTTGTTCAGTTAATGATTCATTAAATCATAATGCATTCTTTAATATTGCTATACCAGTTATTGAGTTACATTAACAATATTCGTGCAGATATTTGTCATAATAAACCTCATTAACGGTCGATTCATTACTATTACGGCCAACGGTATTCACTCGTACTCGTGTCTACGCTAGTAACGTGGACCCTGTAGTGAGACAGTCTCTATCTAAAATACAAAGGTGTAATAGCTCAATGCATTTTTAGTTGGTGACATTGTGTTTTGGACCAGTGCTGAGTTTCAACCACGTAGGAATGTTACTTGGACATCAGTAAATTGTTTGAGAAGACTCAGTAGTTGACAAGATCTCGTTGTTAGGTCGTATTAGGTCCAATCGCAGCAGACCACATTCTTCACCTGATCACCTCAAAGCTGCCAGAACTCAACTCTGAAATATCTCCAGTTTAGTTAACGTCTATTGTCGTGAATCAATCTTATCTTTAAGTTGACTTTTTCGGTGTTAAATGATTGCATATTAAGTAAATATAGAGCTGTTTGAAATAAAGATGAAAATTATTCTTACGCACAAAATATCAGACAATTTATTAAGAAAGATGGAGTTAAGAAAACAATTAATAGGTTTAACTATATTACTGTCACAGACCATTTTTATAACTTGTGAAAAGTATTAATTATTGAAGCCAAATGACTATTAATCTAATACCAAAAGCTTAACCTTTTCATTCCAAACCCTATTACATGAATCCAATTTTGAACCTACTTCAAAGCAATGCGTTATTATTAAGCCCATATAATAAGGAAATAACCGTTTATACCTATTTAACTCCCTCTTGAGCTCCCCAGTCAGAGAAATTATTTGATTGGCGTGGCTCCGGAATATTTCAATATTGACGTTATTCAGGAGTGCTTTTCTCCCTTGAATTATTCATCAAGATCAGCTCCAACAACATATTTCTAAGATATCAATTAGCTAGTTGACAGATTAAATTATTACTGTGAACTTTCTTTGCCACATTTTAGAAACGAATTTCTACTGGCAATCTTTTTGTTCAATACTTTTTATGTTTTAATACCTGTTAAGAGGAATAGAACAATTATTTTTTTCATAATGTTTACGACAACACACCTTCCACGTTCTTTAAGATAATCCGTTCCCAAAAAGTTAAATAAATAAAATATTCTTGCTAACAATCCCGATAGTTATGCTATATGCATAAATGAAACAGTAAAATATATAATACATTTAATACAATGTCAAAAATTAATTATATAGGTGTTGTCAGTGATCTGAGCTGCGCAGTATTTCTTTTAAAACTAAACAAAACAACAATTTGAGCGGAGAGGAGTAAAAACTGAAATGAGTCTAAGAACAATTATGCAGCGTGCTGTGTTCTTCCCTCGTTTCATTCTGTTTTATTTTTTTATTTTGTAAGAACTAAAATATAAAATAAAATCATATAGAACACAATAAAATAAACACTACGAAACAAAATTTGAGTTAAATCCAGAAAGTATAGGTACTATATTTATCATGCCGATTAAAATAATAATAAATTATTTTAAATATTATACCGGCTGCGGAACAATTTATGTATATTTAACTTATTGTGGATTAACATAAGCATATTTGGCAAATTCGTAAGCTTAACTTTTAAAATACGAAGGAATCAAAGGGCATCATAACCCCAATCTTTTAAGGATCATTTACTCTGTAAGTATAGATAATCTATTTACATCTAATTTCAAGCAATATTGCAAAGAACTAGGATACAAGGGAGAGAACTGCTGTGAGATTGTCACTCTAATCTCTGTTATAGACTACCTGGTCCAAATAGTAACCTTTGAGTTGTGACACAGCGATTCGGTTAAACGAATAGCGTAAATTATTCTTTGAAGTAAGTATCAAAGACTTTTAATTCCTGTTTTTCTAGATAAAACTCTTCTTTTTTTTAAGTTAAATGCTTTACTAAAAGTTGTGATAATGTTAACTCTAATAACCTTTTACTATAGTCACCCGACAAAGTGAGCTTCCTTACACAGATTATAGTACAGAAAGTCTTACTTAGGCGCACAGTTTTTACTTTAGCATAGACCAGTATTTCAATCAAACAACACAAAACAGCTTGCTTTTGTTATGCACGTAATCCATGTACGCTTGAAAATAAGTTGGCAACACTTAAAGATATTACGACTACGATCAGCTGTTGCAGGGTTTCCCATTTATTTCAATGTTTGGATTTAACCTAACCTAAAAACGTGTTGTATAGTGTTTGAAAAAAGAATTATTTATATGATTTATAGTAACCGTAGGAAAAATATAATGTGTTACACGAGTGCAAACTGCCTTTGCTGCACTCAAGAAACTTTCATGTTCAGAAAAATGCCACTTCGCCCACTAGTTATGCAAATAACTAATTCATTAATTACAATCGTTATAGTTGTTGCCAAGCAATCATTACACGTCACTTTTTCAGCACAATGTATATTCCAAATTAACCATACAGCAGCGAAATGAGTCGACCCAGAAAATCGCCGTTGAAGTCTGCCTCGTACGCCGGCTGCCGTATCCTGCTGTGGTTCCTGGTCGTGGTCCCCTGCATGGTAATGGTTGCCACCACAACCGACCAGACAGCCGAGGGGTGGTGGGGGGTCGTGCCGAGGATGCTGTTCATGGTTGCTGTAGGGCACTACACCGTCCACACTCTAAGTCGCCTTACCAAGGCAGGAGACGTTTACTATGTTTGTCTAGAGGTATACAAAGTCATTTACTACGTTACTTGCTTATTGGCAAGTCAAATACTAATAAATAATAACACTTAATTAATTAGGTAGAAATAATCAAAACGATTCATTTGAATGATACAACAAGTATCTAATAAAATAAATGTTCAGAGTAAATATGATTAGTTCCATGTAGCTTATTGATTGTTGGCTATTAGAGAATAGCTGCTTTAGCAGGCACAACTTTACTGTTGTTTGGTACCGGGACTCGTTAGTCTGTTTCAGTTTGTGAAAAAAACTGTAAACAATGGTTTCAACGACGGTAGGGGTTGGGCCTGATAGTCTCATTACAATTACACATGTAACCATATTGTGGTGATATTTAGATATATTTAGCCTGATTAATATGACCAATAAGATGTTTTCACTATACGAAATTCATCTTATATCTAGCATTTCGGACTTTTCCTGAATTTTCTTTCTACCTGGACGAACAGTTAGCTGCCATGGGTGCATAGAAAAAAGAAATATAAATAAATATATAAATGTATATATTTAAACTTTACTACTTTTACTACTTTAAACTTTACTAAAGAATATATATGTATATAATTATACATGTGTGAGTACGAAATTTGAATGGAGGCTCTATTTGGCCTCTGGGGACCCCAAAACGAAAAAGTAAATCAATCCCGGATCTAGGTCTTACCATGATACCTACGGTAATAGCTTATTCCCTAATGGGATATTCGCTAAAAACTTGTAGTAATAAAATAATAATAATAATAATATAGTAATATAATAGTAATTATACCACAATATTATAGTAAAAACTTGTACACACAAATCTTTGTCACCCTTAAAGTTTTAGTGTATATAGTGTGAAGTTATATATAATGTCTAACTTGCTTAATTATATCGATGTATTCTTTGTAATTAAAATATTATATGTTTAATTTATCACTGTTAATAATCACTAATTTTATGATCTGTATTCCTTACAGACTATAATTGTACTTATAACGAGCTATTTAGCTTTACTGGTTGTCTGGACTCAAATCGAAACATGCGTGAACGTGATCACCACCATCTGTTCAAAGTTTGTAAGTATTACTTAAACTTTTTAAACAGTTTTTCTATAACTTTGGAGTAATTAAGCTTACGAAAAATTTATGTATGCAATGATCTTTACATTACATTTTTCACTTGAAAGAATTAGACCTAAAAAATCATACAGCAACCAAATGATTCGACCCACCAAAAAAACGTAAAATTGATTTCGCCGTTGAAGTCAGCGATTATATTATAGGCCTATTATAAGTATTATAATATAATTAGAAAAAATGTAATATGTACTGTTTTTGTAAATGGACTTTTGAAGAACCTGAATTTATCTTATTGATTGGCATTGAAACTGACAATTGTATACATCTATTATGATCGTTATTACAGTATCTTTAGGAACTTTAACATGAATAATTTTAAATGGAGGTATCGTATTTACTTTTATCATAATGTATAAGCACACAAGGTGTTGATAATCAAAATAATAAATGTCAATAACAAAGCTTGCCAAATCCTTGTGATCTTTGCTCTTAGATACTTCTCGGAATCCATAAAATATCCAACAAAGGATTCTGAAATACTCTTAAAATATTCCGAGTGTACATCAACAGGGCCAGGTTCAGTGTAGTAAACTAACAGTGATATATGTGTACTAAAATTGCGATCAAATGTACCTGACATTATCTATTTTGGCCAAAGTCTTATGTTAAGTTTTTATAATTCAGTTTTGAATCATTCAATTTTTAAATGGTCAAAAGTTATATCTCATCCTTTTATAAAAGTTTCTTATTGGATAGTATTGTATTTAATAATCTAAAACGAAAGTTTCACATGTAGAATATAAGAGTACTTGAAAAGTGTTAATTTTTTGAAGTGTTTTAAGGATTTGTTAATGTTTATGTATATGTGTTTTTTTTATATTCATAGGGTATGCTGTTACCAAATTAAAATTGCAAAATATCTGTTACATTATCTTTCCTTAATTTCTTTGGGAAGTGGAGCTCGTTGATTTACGGTTAAACTTAAAATTGGGTCATTCAAAGAAATTAATATGCATAAGGGAAAATAAAGGCATACGAAATTTTGCATATAAACAGTTTTATGTAATAAACAAAAGTAAAAGTGCATGTAACATTTTGATAGCCTATTATAATCGTTAGTTGACTGATGTCATAACTTCTTTTAGACACTTTAAAGGTTAGATTACTAAACAATTACTCTTGCATATACTGTATATTTATAGTTAACGAATATTCACAACGAAGCATTGCAAGAGAATTGTATTAAAACCATCCAGATCATCACAACTACATTATTAGCCTCTGCGTTACTCGTTTGGACATATTTCTTATCACGTAAGTACGTATCACATACGCAATTTCTGCACTGTACAGATAGTTTTACTATGGATTTGTATTTGTCTAATCTGTATAGTAAAAAATAAGTACGTACATCATACAGTAGAACCTCGATAACAAGTCTCTCTTGGGGATTATTTGATAAGATTTGTTATCAGGATTGACTTCTTATAGGGGTTCACAATAACGTGTGATTAAGGGTATTATAAAATGAGGTTATGTGTAAATGCCACTTGCGATCATGGGTGACTTATTTCGAAGGTATTTTATCGAGGTAGCAATAAGTAATAGGACGGAGTTTTATGGGGTTGTGGTTTTAACGTCAATCCTAACTCTTTTTTCCACTCGTTTCGTGAACTAATGCCTACTATAATACTCTAAATTATTTTGGGTATCAGAATGATTACATTATTCACATACCAAAACCTGAAAGTCGCTGAATCGATTCCGATAAAGATCAACTATGGACCCAGATCATCTTTTGTCATTGGGCTAACCAACTAACTCCCAAAGGTGGACGTAACAAGTCCAGAGAGTTCAGGAATATCCCTTAAAAACTTAAAAGTTCCAACTTTGGCAGAAACACAAAAAAAAAAAATAAAAAAAAAATATAACATAAAAACCATGAAAAACTAATAATTTAATTAAATAATAACATTTACGTAATTGCTCAGTAAAATTAATTTAAAACGTCGTGCATCGTTTTAGTTATGGTGTAGTTTTACATGTCAAAGCTCGTATTAAACGGTATGCAACGTCAGAGGCTACTTTACCTTGTGGGGGATAAAACACGTGACAGCAGTTTCTAGAGGCTTAGTTTCACCGGTATTAAACGTAAAATAATGCAATTATAAAAGGACTCTTTCAAGTTTGAAAACTAAGTAGCACCTTAATGAACCTAGGAGCCATCTTCCTATACTTACACATGGAACCACTACTAAATTGGAGTCATCTTATATGTCTTTGATTGTTAGTTTTACTTAAGACGAATTATACAGGAGGGTGTACCTGAATATGTGGTACTACAACAAAACACGTTTTAACGACTACTATGAATACTGTACTAATATAAATAAACATTTAAAAGTAGGAAATTTAATTGTAAACAATTGCTTCTGATCCTAGTACTATTTATATGAATACCGATAACCTCATTTAAGTATAAAAATAAATCTCTGATAATTGATTGTCGTATGATATTTTCTAGGAAGGGCAAGCGCAGTGTCCGGTTCTCTTCGTTGGTGGAGGTAAGACATGTCCTACCTAGGAGTCACCACCTCCTGGGTCCTACAACACAAGCACTTAGCTCTCCTCCCAGCGTGGGCAGCAACCCTGTGGTCATCTGATGTCCAATACTTCAGCTTCTGTGTTAAAGTGGCAAATGATATATCGTCAAAAGTTCAAAATAAATAGCCTACTCTTACCAGATTATCCTATGTTTTTCTTCAAAGAATCCACCATATTGTTATTTGTCGTTAGACAAAACAGGAAGAAGGATTTTAGATGGAAAAACTCGACAGTGTATATTAAAATGTTGGCGAAGCAATTGCTTAAAACGAAATTGACACAAGTAATAAGTTTTAAAATATAGTTTAATAAATACTATTTTACTTCCAAGTGAAACCAAATGTAACTAGTTCAGATTATAGTTATTAGTTATTAGTTTTAACTTATTGAAATAGAAAAGAATATGGGGCATTTCTTAGCTCAGTAGCTATAGTGCTCAAATCTTCAATTGGAAGAACGTGTAACATGAATAAGTAATGAATATTTCACAGTATTATGTACAATTATTACTATTATTAGTATGAAAGTTTTAATTGATTTTATGAGCTTAGTATATAAAACACAAGTACTACAACTAAGTACAAAGTAGTATACGCTATGTAAATCAAATAAATTGCTTTCTTTATTAGGTTGGCGAATACACAATTGAAATTCGATGGCACTCAGTTGAACAAAGTTGAAGCCATTAAGACTGGAGTTGCGAAGAGCTGATAAGCGGGTCATTAGCGAATGTAAATGACGAGCATTCCCATTCATGAGGTCTGTGTCATCGGCCTAGCTATGCGAGGGAGGAATTGACAGTGTCTGGTTGTTACTTGAAGTGTAGGCATGGAATTCTAATGTGAGTTTGTGCAAAGCTGCAGCAAAAATATCTAACTATAGCATGTGATGTTAAAACATTTCCATTCATGAGGTCTGTGTCATCGGCCTAGCTATGCGAGGGAGGAATTGACAGTGTCTGGTTGTTACTTGAAGTGTAGGCATGGAATTCTAATGTGAGTTTGTGCAAAGCTGCAGCAAAAATATCTAACTATACCATGTGATGTTAAAACATTTCCATTCATGAGGTCTGTGTCATCGGCCTAGCTCTGCGAGGGAGGAATTGACAGTGTCTGGTTGTTACTTGAAGTGTAGGCATGGAATTCTAATGTGAGTTTGTGCAAAGCTGCAGCAAAAATATCTAACTATAGCATGTGATGTTAAAACATTTCCATTCATGAGGTCTGTGTCATCGGCCTAGCTCTGCGAGGGAGGAATCGACAGTGTCTGATTGTTACTTGAAGTATAGGCATGGAATTCTAATGTGAGTTTGTGCAAAGCTGCAGCAAAAATATCTAACTATAGCATGTGATGTTAAAACATTTCCATTCATGAGGTCTGTGTCATCGGCCTAGCTATGCGAGGGAGGAATTGACAGTGTCTGGTTGTTACTTGAAGTGTAGGCATGGAATTCTAATGTGAGCTTATGCAAAGCTGCAGCAAAAATATCTAACTATAGCATGTGATGTTTAGACGTTTCCATTCATGAGGTCTGTGTCATCGGCCTAGCTCTGCGAGGGAGGAATCGACAGTGTCTGATTGTTACTTGAAGTATAGGCATGGAATTCTAATGTGAGTTTGTGCAAAGCTGCAGCAAAAATATCTAACTATAGCATGTGATGTTAAAACATTTCCATTCATGAGGTCTGTGTCATCGGCCTAGCTATGCGAGGGAGGAATTGACAGTGTCTGGTTGTTACTTGAAGTGTAGGCATGGAATTCTAATGTGAGTTTGTGCAAAGCTGCAGCAAAAATATCTAACTATACCATGTGATGTTAAAACATTTCCATTCATGAGGTCTGTGTCATCGGCCTAGCTATGCGAGGGAGGAATCGACAGTGTCTGATTGTTACTTGAAGTATAGGCATGGAATTCTAATGTGAGATTGTGCAAAGCTGCAGCAAAAATATCTAACTATACCATGTGATGTTAAAACATTTCCATTCATAAGGTCTGCGTCATCGGCCTAGCTATGCGTGGGAGGAATCGACAGTGTCTGATTGTTACTTGAAGTGTAGGCATGGAATTCTAATGTGAGTTTGTGCAAAGCTGCAGCAAAAATATCTAACTATAGCATGTGATGTTAAAACATTTCCATTCATGAGGTCTGCGTCATCGGCCTAGCTATGCGAGGGAGGAATCGACAGTGTCTGATTGTTACTTGAAGTGTAGACATGGAATTCTAATGTGAGCTTATGCAAAGCTGCAGCAAAAATATCTAACTATAGCATGTGATGTTTAGACGTTTCTATTCATGAGGTCTGTGTCATCGGCCTAGCTATGCGAGGGAGGAATTGACAGTGTCTGATTGTTACTTGAAGTGTAGGCATGGAATTCTAATGTGAGTTTGTGCAAAGCTGCAGCAAAAATATCTAACTATAGCATGTGATGTTAAAACATTTCCATTCATGAGGTCTGTGTCATCGGCCTAGCTATGCGAGGGAGGAATTGACAGTGTCTGGTTGTTACTTGAAGTGTAGGCATGGAATTCTAATGTGAGTTTGTGCAAAGCTGCAGCAAAAATATCTAACTATACCATGTGATGTTAAAACATTTCCATTCATGAGGTCTGTGTCATCGGCCTAGCTCTGCGAGGGAGGAATTGACAGTGTCTGGTTGTTACTTGAAGTGTAGGCATGGAATTCTAATGTGAGTTTGTGCAAAGCTGCAGCAAAAATATCTAACTATAGCATGTGATGTTAAAACATTTCCATTCATGAGGTCTGTGTCATCGGCCTAGCTCTGCGAGGGAGGAATCGACAGTGTCTGATTGTTACTTGAAGTATAGGCATGGAATTCTAATGTGAGTTTGTGCAAAGCTGCAGCAAAAATATCTAACTATAGCATGTGATGTTAAAACATTTCCATTCATGAGGTCTGTGTCATCGGCCTAGCTATGCGAGGGAGGAATTGACAGTGTCTGGTTGTTACTTGAAGTGTAGGCATGGAATTCTAATGTGAGCTTATGCAAAGCTGCAGCAAAAATATCTAACTATAGCATGTGATGTTTAGACGTTTCCATTCATGAGGTCTGTGTCATCGGCCTAGCTCTGCGAGGGAGGAATCGACAGTGTCTGATTGTTACTTGAAGTATAGGCATGGAATTCTAATGTGAGTTTGTGCAAAGCTGCAGCAAAAATATCTAACTATAGCATGTGATGTTAAAACATTTCCATTCATGAGGTCTGTGTCATCGGCCTAGCTATGCGAGGGAGGAATTGACAGTGTCTGGTTGTTACTTGAAGTGTAGGCATGGAATTCTAATGTGAGTTTGTGCAAAGCTGCAGCAAAAATATCTAACTATACCATGTGATGTTAAAACATTTCCATTCATGAGGTCTGTGTCATCGGCCTAGCTATGCGAGGGAGGAATCGACAGTGTCTGATTGTTACTTGAAGTATAGGCATGGAATTCTAATGTGAGATTGTGCAAAGCTGCAGCAAAAATATCTAACTATACCATGTGATGTTAAAACATTTCCATTCATGAGGTCTGTGTCATCGGCCTAGCTATGCGAGGGAGGAATTGACAGTGTCTGGTTGTTACTTGAAGTGTAGGCATGGAATTCTAATGTGAGTTTGTGCAAAGCTGCAGCAAAAATATCTAACTATACCATGTGATGTTAAAACATTTCCATTCATGAGGTCTGTGTCATCGGCCTAGCTATGCGAGGGAGGAATCGACAGTGTCTGATTGTTACTTGAAGTATAGGCATGGAATTCTAATGTGAGATTGTGCAAAGCTGCAGCAAAAATATCTAACTATACCATGTGATGTTAAAACATTTCCATTCATAAGGTCTGCGTCATCGGCCTAGCTATGCGTGGGAGGAATCGACAGTGTCTGATTGTTACTTGAAGTGTAGGCATGGAATTCTAATGTGAGTTTGTGCAAAGCTGCAGCAAAAATATCTAACTATAGCATGTGATGTTAAAACATTTCCATTCATGAGGTCTGCGTCATCGGCCTAGCTATGCGAGGGAGGAATCGACAGTGTCTGATTGTTACTTGAAGTGTAGACATGGAATTCTAATGTGAGCTTATGCAAAGCTGCAGCAAAAATATCTAACTATAGCATGTGATGTTTAGACGTTTCCATTCATGAGGTCTGTGTCATCGGCCTAGCTATGCGAGGGAGGAATTGACAGTGTCTGATTGTTACTTGAAGTGTAGGCATGGAATTCTAATGTGAGTTTGTGCAAAGCTGCAGCAAAAATATCTAACTATAGCATGTGATGTTAAAACATTTCCATTCATGAGGTCTGTGTCATCGGCCTAGCTATGCGAGGGAGGAATTGACAGTGTCTGGTTGTTACTTGAAGTGTAGGCATGGAATTCTAATGTGAGTTTGTGCAAAGCTGCAGCAAAAATATCTAACTATAGCATGTGATGTTAAAACATTTCCATTCATGAGGTCTGTGTCATCGGCCTAGCTCTGCGAGGGAGGAATTGACAGTGTCTGATTGTTACTTGAAGTGTAGGCATGGAATTCTAATGTGAGTTTGTGCAAAGCTGCAGCAAAAATATCTAACTATAGCATGTGATGTTAAAACATTTCCATTCATGAGGTCTGTGTCATCGGCCTAGCTCTGCGAGGGAGGAATTGACAGTGTCTGGTTGTTACTTGAAGTGTAGGCATGGAATTCTAATGTGAGTTTGTGCAAAGCTGCAGCAAAAATATCTAACTATACCATGTGATGTTAAAACATTTCCATTCATGAGGTCTGTGTCATCGGCCTAGCTCTGCGAGGGAGGAATTGACAGTGTCTGGTTGTTACTTGAAGTGTAGGCATGGAATTCTAATGTGAGTTTGTGCAAAGCTGCAGCAAAAATATCTAACTTTAGCATGTGACGTTTAGACATTCCCATTCATGAGGTCTGTGTCATCGGCCTAGCTATGCGAGGGAGGAATCGACAGTGTCTGATTGTTACTTGAAGTGTAGGCATGGAATTCTAATGTGAGCTTATGCAAATCTGCAGCAAAAATATCTAACTCCAGCGTGTGATGTTTAGACATT